TAAATTGGTAGAATTAAAATAAAGAATGTGAATGCCGTGAATTGCAGTTCCACTCTTTCGTACTTCCCTTTTTCAGGTTTCTCCAGTTGGTTCAGGAGAAGTTTCCGGATGCAACTTTGTCTCCAGGATGGAAGGTATGACAGGTGCTGCAGTCAGCTCACTGCATACAGTATAATAGCACATTTCATACGGGTTTTTCAGGCTGCTGGCAGGGTTCTGGTTCTGGTAATGCTTGTCAGTAGATCTGGGGTCCGTTTCACAAAGCAGGTTTAGTGAAAACTCTGAGTCTGTTAACCTTGAAATGAGGGAAACTCTCCCTCAGGTGGTTGGCCAGCTGGATTCAATTGGTGTCTAGCTTATGTCAAGGATACAGCAGGTGTTTAGTTTAGGTTTTATAAGTAGTGACACCATGACTCATACATGCATTTATTCAAGTCCAAAACAAGCATTAGGTACCTAGATGCAGATGACCTTGTGCACAGATCGAAGTGTCTGCTTGGGTCCTCGTGAGGTAAATTTAGTCATTTCCCCAAAACTACAAGAGTCCATGAGATAAGAGCTACTGTGCATATGTGCAAATGAATCTTGTAAGTGGACTCATCTGGACTAGAAAAGTAGTTTCAATTGTGACCCCATGGACTGTTCGCACCGCATAGCATGCCAACTGCTCATGTGCCATGCAAACAAACAGTGCGTAAACTAAACACTTGTTGTGAGAAAAGACTGTTTCAGGAGATTCTCCATCATCCACACCTTTATAGTTCATCATTAAAAGATCTAGTGGCTGCAGGACTTTGAAGGTGCTTTTGCAGTGACGATGCCCAAACACAGGAGGACATTCAAATTTCTCCAGAAATCCTGTGCTAATGTACATCCACCCACTGTGCTCGGAACACCTTTGGAATAATCACGGAAACCAATCAAAAGGAACCAGCTCTATTTACAGGCTTTAGAAAACACAGCCAGTAAATAGCACTTTTTCACAGGTAAGATAGTCTTAATAGCAGCAGAGTGGTGAGAGTAGGATGTGGTGGAGCAACGAGCTCGATGGAGAACATTCACTTGGGAGGTTGGGACTTGACTCCTGGGCCACAAATGAATGTTGACTTGTAGCTTGATTACATTAGTTCACACCCATTTTGATGTCAAAGTTTTTTGAGCTGATTTTAGACAACTACAATGTGCTGAATCCAAATATTACTTTGGTTTTGCTCAATGAGGTCAAAATTTTGATTTGATGAAACATGCAATTTACTTGTATTTACCTTTACAAATGTTTATGCGCATCAGCTTTTGGATCATTTAGCTTATGAAAAGGATTAGAAAATTAAATATTTCCCCTAAAATCTGATTTCATATGAGAAATCGTAAAATAAATCAATCGCTAATGTCAAAAAATGTCATTGATTTAGTGGTAAAATTGATCTTTTTTAAATAGAGTTGGCATAAAAACCTGACCTGATACAGAAAAGCAGATGTCATTGTTGGATTTAGCGTCGCAAAAATGTCCTGAATCAGTTTAAAAAATCCTAGACACCTTCAAGAACGTATTTTGTTGTAACCCAATGTTATCTTTATGCATTTGAAACATGTGCTTGTGTGGTGGGAACGGATTACAACAGAGAGGGAAAAGCTGTACAGTTTCACTTTTCATTCTGCTTTTTCCAGACGTCTACCTACTGCAGCTTTAATGTTAGCCAGACGATAAACTGTTTTAATACAGCTGAAGGCAAAAGCTGTTTTCCAAATTGCATACGTTTTCTTTTTTACTTTCAGTACGTACTATAGCTCTTACAACGTGTGTACTGTTTCATACAACAAAGACTTTTTATACGATCATCCAGCAGTTCAGTTCAGCACTACAGTATTTTTGCCTGAATGATTGTAATTCACAGTTAAACCTGCTCTGTTTCTGTCAGGTGACCTATGCTCCTCCACTTTTTGTTGCAACCTACACCCGGGCCATGGTGGAAGACATGTATAATTTGGTTAAAGACTGCCCCCAAGACGTAAGCAGCAAAACATACACAAGACATTTTAATATTTGTATTTTTAAAGCCTCTACAACCTAGTTTTTACACTACTCTACACATCAACTACAAAAAGATATCTCACTGTGCTGAATGTATCCTCCAACTACTTGCTTAACTGTATTGTTTTTGTGCCATGCAGCATTTAAAAAAAAAAACAACAACTATGTGTCGTTTCACTATTAATGATATGTTCATTATTAGCTAGTAGATAAATAGCAGCATCACAATCACGATGTCATTTATTCACAGTCATTGCACTAAGGTATCACAGTGATCTCAACCCTGATATGTGACAATAATCTACACTGCAGTAACGACAGCTTTAAGGTCTGCAGTGAAACATCAGCATGTTTTTCTTTCTAGGTGACGTTTCCAGTCCATGCTATGTTGGTTCGCAGCGGCTGGCAGCATCTGAGCTGGCTCCTCAGCCAATCACCACGGTAACAGATGACTTACATCTGTATAATAACAATGACTGAAAATCAGTAATTTATCATTCACATACAGAATAGTTTCCTGGTTAATCTTGAGATTTTTTTTTAACCACAAAATAAAACCAGTAGGACTAAGACATAGTTTGTGTTCAGGCTATCTGATGGTGCTTTGATGTGGTGATTTGGTTTCTAGGTTCAGCTTGACTTTGTGGCAAGGTTCGATCCATCCAAACGTCAGCGACTTGCTGTTTGTCCGCGACAACTCCAACCCCGCCAGAGTTTACTATGACATATATGAACCCACGCTGTCGGAATTTAAGGAGGCTGCAAGTAAGGAACGGGCTGGTAAAAAAATGCAGTCATCAGGTGGATGTGGAGTTTAATATGTAAGACTGGTCAGTAGACACCAGCCTGTCATCTGCATCTTATATGTGCAAGAGTGACTGAAGTTTGGCTGAAGGAATATAGGACTGTAGGTTTGCATTACTAAATGCATTCATTGTCAAAAAAAAAAAGTTTGCTAAAGGCACAAAAACAACATTTGGACCTTAATAACATGACAGGTGGAAGCAAAATTCATACATTTAGAAATGAAGTATAGGAGGCCAGTACAGCACTTTACATCACTTTAAGAGTAAAAGTGTGAGCAGTGAATCATGATTCTCATGGTATAAGAGAATGTTGTTGACTGTAATCAGCATCAGCACTTTAATATGCTCCTCACTGCCCATTCTTCACATTTACTAAGAATGTAGTAACGGATATATTAGTTGACCGTAAACAAAGTAAAAAAAAAAAAAAAAAAGTTTTCTTCACTGTTTCTTTACGGATGCATCGATTGTGTTAACAGCGAGGCAGAGCCAGTGGAGGAAGTTCTATCCTGGAGGAGATTTGATGGATTTCCTTCATCCAACTCACAACTCGGACAACAAGTTGACGCCAGAGGTCAGACGGCGCAGCAGCCTGGCTGTGCGCTGGTTTACAGTCACTGATCAGGCCTCCCTGCTGGATCAGCTCTCAGGTATGGAGACACAAAAACAGCACACATCCCAAGAGCTCACACAACAAATGAAGCTAAAATGTCTGATCAAAGCTTTTTTTTTCTTTTTAAATTCTATAGTTTACAGACAGCATGTGTAGGTGTGAGAACACCTTACTATGTCACCATCTAGTGGTAATATTAAGAACGATCTGGTGGTAATATTAAGAACGATCTGGTGGTAATATTAAGAACCATCTGGTGGTAATATTAAGAACAATGCTGTTACAAGAAAAACTGAACAGAACACAACCAACTGAAAGAAATCATATCACATAAAAATTTAATTCAAAGTTGTTTTAAAATGCAAAACATGTTAAGCAAATGTCAAACTCTGACAGACACTGGAAAATAGTCTGTATCATTCAAGCTATGTACAGTACACACCAGAAGTGAGTCCAACAGTGGACAATATCACTTAGATGTCAAAAGACTCAAAATTGTCTGTGAAAGACATGACATGGCATCAACCTCTATGGACAAAGAATCCAAGAAAAAAACCTTGGCTTGCTCTCTGGTACCAAACTGCCAGATGAACCTTGTTAAAGAACATGAAAAGAAGCCTGATGAATATTGGGAGCAAATTATTTGATCAAATGAGATCAACATACATTTATTCAGCTGTAACTGGATCCAGCGGGCTCGACATGAACCTGGTCAGAACTACCACAGTGAACAGACAGTCCTGACAGCGAAGCACAGAGGAGTGAGTGTGATGATGTGGGGCTGCCTGAGTGCAAAAGGTGTTGCGTTGATGATATTTGTGGATGGCACCATGAACACCTGTGGATATACCAAATACTGGCTGACAAGATGACTCTCAGTCTGCAGAAGTTTGGCATAAGATGTTTCAGAAGATGTTTGAAGAAGTTTTATCGAATCCATCTTAACTTTCTCTTTCATTTGTTGGTACGGCTCCCTTTCCCTCAAAAATAAAAAACAGATTGCAGAGTATCATAAGACTGCAGCAAAATTGCAAGGATCAACCGAAATGACCTCTCAGCCCTGCATCAGATCAGAACTTTAAGTAAGGCCCGTTCTATCCTCACGGATCAGAGCCACCACTTGGCTTGTGAGCTCCTGCTGCTTCCGTCAGGGCGCAGGTACATCCTGGCAAAACACAGGACTAACAGACGCAAGCATTCTTTTATCCCTGCTGCCATTGCTCTGCTGAACAAGTAGATCTACTTCCTGTTTATTTATTTACTGTCTCTTTGCTATTTATTGTTGTTTCTGTGCGATTGTTGCATGGATTGATTGTTTTTACTGCTGGCTGCATAGGAAACTACCCCACTGGGATAATAAAGACTCCCTGAACCTTGAACCTTGAAGAGGAATATTTCATCATGATAATAATCCAGAGGACCTGACCAAAATCACAGTTTCTAAAAAAATAAGAAAGTGAAAACTATGACCTGGCAAACTATGTGTGCCTGATCTGAAGCCCATGGAACAACTTTGGGGTATATTAAAGAGAAAGTTGGAGCAACACAACCTCTCCAGCAATGAGCAGCTGAAATAAATAGTTTCTAAAGAATGGCAGAACATCTCAGCAGATGTTTGTGCAACTCTGGTGTCCTCCATAACACTTGCTCTACCCACTTTATTGTGTAGAGGGTCGATCCCAGATTCAGGTCAGGAGCTTTAGTACATATTTATCAAACAACAGAAAGGACTCAAAATGTGAACTCAGTGACTTTAACTGTGGCACCAAAACTGGACAGTTGAAGACTAGAAAAATGTAGCCTGGTCGATGAAGTTTAAGGCTGCAGGTGCATCATGAATGAAAGCCTGTCGAAGGCCCAGGCTTCTGTGATGGTGTGAGAAATGTTTTCTTGGCACACGTTGGCCCCTTTAATTCCAACAATCACTGTGTGAATGTCACAGCTTGTCTGAATACTGCTGTTGATCATAAGCATCCCTTTATGGCCACAGCTGACATCATCTAATGGCTGTTTCTAGCACGATAAAAGTCGTCTAAACTGGTTCCATGTGTTCAATGAGACATCTTGATGGCGTCCAACAAACTGGTGGATGCTGCTGTTTTATCAAACCATGAGGTCACAGTGACAACAACGACACATCAATGCTTTTCTGTCTCATTTCTAACACCTGTGTGCGTCCAGGTGGGGACAGTGGGATGTTGGTCATTCGTGTGGCTTCTGACAGCAGCCGACCTGGAGTTCCTGTGGTGGAAGGTTCTGGAGGCAGCTCGGAGCCGCTAACGCTGCAGGTATATCAGCAAGAAACACAAGGATTTACTGACAGAGGATAAGATTTTTTTTATGTATTAGACTGAGACAACACATCAGCACCACTCACTGGGCTGTAACTGGTGTCCTGTTGCCATTTTAAATGTGAAAAAGTCCAATGGCTGTTATGGGAATGTTAAAGTTTTCCTAAAACATCCTCCAAAACCCACTTCTCTATTGATCTGAGGCACAAAAAAGACAAAAAAAGTGGAGCTGACAGTTGTTCAGTAATGTTTCATGTTAAAACTACAGCTGTTAGCTAATATTTGTAGTATTTCTATCACATATTAAGTTGAGTTTTATTCATGACACTTATGGTTCAGGTCTCATGTTTCTCTAATGATCACTGAAGAAATGTTGACTTTAACACCAAAAATGCACAATAATAAGGCCTGATGTGTCTCACAGGACGTCCTTCAGCTGCTGGGGCAGAATGATGATGCCCCCTGGGGCATCTACCTGCAGATCCGCACTCATCAGCTTCTGGAAGCTTCTCTCCACCTGCTGCAGTCGTCCTACAGCGCTGAGGAGCTCTACAGGCCTGTGTGGATCAGCATGGAGGGTTTACAGAGCAGCGACCACACAGCGGTATGTACCTTCTTGAGAATAACTGCTACTGGGAAGGTTTCTGTGTCTTTACATTAGAAAAAAGTATTTAGTTGCCCGAGAACTGCGTTTCTGACTTGTATGAAACGTTGAAGCATCTTTGGCTGCAACCTGGAGAACAGGGCAGCGTTCAACATCGTACTTCCCCCAACTGTGATTTGATTGGTTTAAATACTGAATATTTGTGAAGTTAAACAACTCAAGTTTATAAAATGAAACGGACCTACTGGTATCTGTTATGTCTCTACTCATCTTCCATTGAACTTATTTTTACTGCTTTGTTTCTCTGTTTTTCTTTGTGTGGCTGGAACGTAAACCTTCGTCACAAAACTACCGACAGTGGTGGAATGTAACTAAAGTATATTTACTGAAATACTGTACCTCAGTTCTTGTACTTTACTGTTGTGTATCAGTTTTATGAAGCTTTATACTTGTTCTCTGCTACATTCAGAGAGAAATCTTAAGTTAAAACTGTTTTAACTGTATTTTTTTTTTGTTTTTTTGGAACAACTTATTGTTACTCAGCAGATTTTCCCAGTTTAATTAAATAACAGATAATAACTAGTAAAATCAAAGAAATAAAGTATTCACTTACATGTTAGCCTTTGCAGTATGTATTTTAACAAGTTGTTCTTTTACAATGTTAATTCAGATTAAAAATAACAGTTTCGTAACTGTTCAAATCAGCAAAAATAACATGAATTTACAGATATTTCCCATAATTTCAATAGAGAAAATGTGTACACTGAGGACTGAAAAATGCTAAATATTTTAATCAATTACTTCAAGGATTTTCTCTTTATTTAAATTGTAGATAATATCTTGTCATTTATATGTTGACTGTAAAAGCCAAAGCTGTACATGATGTCCACATCAAAAATCAGCATTTTTACAAATAGTAATTTGTTCTTTCACAATATGTGATTGTAAAATTACACTACCTTACTGTTAGATCAGCTAAAATATTACTTTACAGATGTTTGCTGCCATTTTTACCATTTTTCCACTTTTTCTGCCAGATTTTTATTTTATTTTATATTTTTTTTACAGTGTTGGATATATTCCACTCACTTTCATGTTATGCAAAAATCCATAATCAATCTGTCACATTCATCTACTGGCATGAATTTAAGATGTTCAGGACAAATGTATACTGCAGTTGTACTGACATATTGTATATTCATACCAGAGGTGGATGATACAATACCCAACTCTTGAAAGAAAAAGTCAGTGTTAACACCAACCTCACAGTCGTGGCAAAGGAGGGATGAAGTGATTCTGGAAGTGCATTATTAGGTGTTTCTTGCTGTGCTTCTGTTCCTCTACATTGTCTTCGTCCTCTCTTTCTTCAGGACTTCGTATCCACAGTAGAAAGGTTGTTTCCTTACGTCACCTTCGTCATGGCTGAGCAGAAATGGCCTCTTGTGATCCCAGCAGCAGTGGCAGGTTTGTCTCAGAGGGTGGCACTACACCTGAACTCAGCATCGCTGCCCACAGGACAGGAGGAGCTGCACTCTCTAATGGAAATGATGGACAGATATGACTTTATACTGGAGGCGGACACAAAGACCAACACTGATGCTCTCACAGTCCTGATAAGATTAATGACCCAACGTACACGAAGAGCAAACCTGTATGTGATATCTGACCAATGAGGAGGCCAGAAGTACAGGATGACACTATATGAAACAGGATGCTTGTGTTATGTAGTTTGCTCTTTATTTAATGTGAACAGAAACATGTGTCTGACAGAAACAGTGACACGGCATGTTCAGAGCCTGATGATGGAGGGCTGATACGGTCAGCTGGTATTAATTCATCCAACATGTATGTAGGATGAATACATTTGTGGTAAAAAAAAAAAAAAGAAAAATATTGGGCATAATTCCATAATGTGCCCTTGAGTTTCTTTGCACAACTATAATTCTCAAACCCACTCAAGCAAACCATGATACGACAGAGGCTTAAGTGTTCAGTATTAACCCTTTGACGCCAGGGTCCTTTAAACCTACCCAGATGGTAGGTTTAAACGGCATGTTATTGTTTTTAAATCTCCAAAATTACAACGTGTATATTAGCAACAAACTGTAAAAACAGGGACATTGTCTGAAAAACATAGAAATAAATTGTGTAACATGTATTATTTAAATGATCACTTGTGAAATAAACTGTCATCTTTTTTGACTTTTGGAACAATTCAAAAGTTTGTTTCAAATTCCGTTGATGAACGCCTGCCGTGTCTTTTTGTTTCTCATCAGTCATATCAAGCCGACCGTTAACCTAATCTCCTGGCTAGTTATCTGGCCTGCTGCATGTCCAGCATCTAAATAAAGACAGATGTTTGGTTGTGTGTCTGTGCTACATGTTTTCATACAGCAGCAACAGACAATCCCAAAAAAAAATCAGTGGGGAAAATACAATAAAAAAAAAAACAACTGACATTTAAAAATGAAAAAAATATTTGTATATACTTGGTAAACACTTCTTTAGCACGGAAATCTTTAGAGGGTCATAAAAAGTGAGCTAAAGTGCCACGACAAAGGGACGTGCTTTATCATATATTTGACACTAAATGGGATCATAATTTACAAAATGAGCATCAGGTTGTATTTAAAATGTCTTAAAAATAGAGATTGAGACCATAAACTCACTAGAAAAATGTTTACTGAGGTAACAGATGCAGGGAGAGATAAAGACATTGATTTTATTTATTTCCATACAAGCTGACTTCTTGTTGCAACCAGAGGTGTCGCCCCCTGATGGCTGCTAGAAAGAATGCAGGTTTGTGGTACTTGTGCGTTGGCTTCACTTTACAGACCTGGAGGCTACTTTCATCGTATATTTATACAGACTGTGGTGCTAACTAGGAATCAACTGATTATCAGCCTGGTGGAATATGAGGGTCGATATTTTTAATTTTTCTGGTTATTGTTATTTTTATTAAACAATTATATATACAATAAGGGCACTACTTTGTCTGCCGTGTGGTTAGCTATCTGTTTCTGTAGTCACTCTGTGATCTCATATAATATTCTCAGCTTTATCTGATTGGTTACACATCCCAAGTAACAGCCAATCAGCTCTGAAAGCTGCTGTTTACAGACAGAGACCGATGAGAACTCTGGTTAATAAGCAGAGCTGTGTGTGGAAAGTAATTTAGCAGATACTGCTAAAGTTATACTAAACGCCACAATCTTACACAAGTAAGGCTATCACTAAGAAGTTTGGAGTATCTGGAGTACTGTAACATCTGTCTAAAGTGAAATTCATTTTACAGTCAGCTTTAACTGACAAATGTGTTTCTTCAGCAGAGACACAATCTGCAAAAACCTGACAAGAAGCACAGCCATCGTTCCAAATCAGAAAAACGTGGTACTATTCACAATGGCTAAGGCTATGCTAACAACTAGCAGCTGAGTTCAGAGGCAGCAGCAAACTACCCCACAACAACTGCTGGAAAACAACAAGTTATAATGCTTTACAATTTGGGCCTTAGTGGGAAAATAAAAATGATAGAACAGTGAGGAACTAACAAAACAGGAAAACAGTACACGTTACTGCAGGAGACAAACTGATCGATCTCAAATAATCGATCTCTCAGTGAACAGAGGAGAGCACCCTGGGTCATCAACACTTATATTTCTATTGTACATGTTCAGTCATAATAATCATTATTAATGAAGTAATGTAGTTATGAATGACAGGCTCCCTGTTATCACATGCTGTCTCTATATAACATTCAAATGTGTACCGGTTCCAAATATCGATTATCAGTGTTTCTTAAGTACCAACCATTAATTTCAGTATTCACCCTGTCAACAACAACAACAACAAAACAACGTATCAGTCGATCTATAGCACCAACTGCTGTCAGCTCTTAGTGTTTTTACAAAGGAAGCCTCCATTTCCTATAAGACCCAGGACATGAACATGTACCTTAGATTTACAAACATAAAAAAAACAGGTTAACTGACACAAATCACACCGTTTCATTTGTGTCCAAACAATATAAATGATCGTGAGCAACCTGTAATTTGGAATCACGTCTACATCTTACATTTTATTCTGGTTGACTAATAGAGTGAGCAACATGTGACATAGTTCTACTTTACTCACTTAACTGTGATCTTTTATTATTAGAATCTACGCTAAGACCTTTTTGTAAAAAAAAAAATACAGTCTAAAAAAGCCTGAATACAAACATCACCCTTGTTCACTGTCAACCTGTGATTTGTTCTGTGTTGTATAAACAGCTGATGGATGTCGGCACTCTGTGATGTAAAAAAGCCTGAAAAGTACCACTGAGTGTCTACAGGTGGGTGCTGTGGAGCGTCTCTGACAGACTGCTGGGACTGTCGGCGGCCTGGAATTGGTCGTCTTGAACCTCAGAGTCCGACTGCAGTCTGTTCCTGGCCAGGTATTGGCTGCAGGAGCAGAAGGTGTGGTAGAAAGAGGAGGAGAGGCCGGCGATATCAGTGGAGATGTAGGGAAGCACCTCTGGAGACGCCTGGTTATAGTAACTGATCTGCACAAACAAACAAAATTATGATCGTCAGGTTTGTTGAAATTATTAAAAATGCACCAGGAAACTGCTCGAGTGTCTCACCAGTGACTTGTTTTGTGTGGTTTCCAGTATAGTGAATCCAGCACACAGAACCTCTCCTCTGTTATACCCCTCAGTAGGAGGGTGAGTGGGGAGGGTCACTGAACGCAGAGCGATGACGTATGAATCTCTGAGGAGGAATAAAAACAAAAAGTGACAGTAAGTGCTGCAGGGTAGAGCTGGATGACTTTTGACAATGAGTGAGATTTTCATTACCCGCTGCCACACGGCTTCCTCTTGGAAGCCAACAAGATGAAATCCTGGAGAATCCCTTCTGGTGTGCTGGCTGAAGTGGGGGATCCCACCGCTCCAGGAGGCACTGATGGAGTCACCACACGATAAAGGAAGTCATCGTCGTCCACCCGGTGAATCCGCTCACATTTCCTGGTTTAGGAAGGACAGACACTGATAAGTATGTTGCTGTTGTGACTCACTAGTTGTAGACTGTGGGTATAAGCCTGCCTTTGGCCACTCCTTCTGCCATCTGTGCATTACTATTCTCAACATCCATTTCACTATGGAAAACAACAACAACCTCCAACTTACCACAATGAAAAAAAAAAAGCTTTTGATCGTGTAGTGAGACAGCCATGCTGCTATTTATTGGTTCTATTATCCGTTTCAGTAATGGTGCTGGCCTCCCTGCATGCAAATGTTTCTAAGAAACAAGTCCACCATCACTATCTTGAGTGAACACTAAAGCCACATCCTTTCTTTAGCTTTCTTTAGCGTTTTTTTGCCCCTGTAGCAGAATAACAAGGAAGTGCAGACAAACCATTATGCACTACAGAAAGGGGCTGGCTGACCGAGACGAGTATGTTGCTTTAAAAAAAAAAAAAAAAAAAAGAGTAGTTGATCAGAAAAAAAGAAAAGAAGGCATGATGACAAAATTGTTAAAGAATAATAATTTTGCATTTTGAGAAAAGCATATATTCACATTCTTTTTAACACCAAGTCAGAATTTTCTGCCTTGACTTGGCTGATAAACTGTATATGACCATACCTTGGTCACCAGCCAGTCATTGCTTGATATCGTTCACTATCCCTGTGTTGTCAATCTAAAAACATATAAAAACTGTGTAATACCACAAGTTAAGTTTTCTCTCAAACAATTTCTTGGCTGCTTTCTCAGGTGCAGACACCTAAACTGATACTAACATTATTATAGACGTATACCTAAGCCTGGATTGTGCTGGCTCATCTCAGTGAGTCGTCTACACAACATGTGGCCTGTGTTTCTGTTTGTCCACACTCTTACAGCTGCCTGCAGGGAAACCAGAGTCCACACTCAGTTAAACAAATATAGTATGACCTCAGTAAAATGTAACCTTAATTCATCCACTCTGCACTGAGTATAAAGTCAACCCTCTGAACTCCAAGCAGTTTCTGAGTCTTTTTTGTTTTTGTCATGTTTTTACTCACTGTGGGCTCAATGTTTACTGCAATATAAAGTCATTCCCCTCTATTGAAACAAAACCATGACTAGAAGTAAAGAGAACTTTTTTAAAAAAAAGTGTTTTTGTGCAACATGACACAGTCACAATGCTATAAATCATAACAAAGAAACACTGACAGTGTTTAATTTGTTGACTTGCCTCCATCATGTCAAAAAGTGATCATCTGCCAAGAAGTGACTGCCACTCAGACGAGTGCACCGTTTATCTGCTTTTATGTGGGTCAGAACATGTAAATACACGACTTGTTGTCTGTGGTAGTAGCAGATGTGTAACACTGTGAAACCTGGCCAAAGAGATGCTTGCAGTGACATTTACATTAT